ACCCCGTGATTTCGAAATTGGAATTATATATGGTGAAATAGCATTTATTAATAGAATTTTCATCAAACTAATTATATTAATCATTTATTGCTGGAAAAATTGTGATATCTTGTGCTTGGAATTTTCTATTATAAAAGCTTAATATTTGGCAGGTTAGTTTAATAGGATACATTAATATAGCTACTATTATTGCTATTATTACTGCTATTGTAGCTTTATAGGTAACTTTTAACATCGTTCTGTCTAGCAGTTGCTTTTTTTGAATTTGAGATCTACCTCAATTTGTTAGGAGTACTCTGCATATAACTGTTTATTTGGTTGTGCTTTTTTAGAATATCACGGTAAAATTCCTGGTTGTTAAGGACTTATTAATTTTTCATACTAGTCTAAATTTTATCAAAGACAATGATTCTCTTCGTACTAGAAAGTTATCTTCCAGCTTTCAACGGTCTGCTTGGAGTTTCTACTTTTTACTCTTTAGTTCTGATTACTAGCGGTGAATCTGGCTAAGTGCTAGATTAAGTTTGGCAATCATAGCCTGACAGTTAGCTTTTACTTAAAGGCATAAACTTACTTAGTGTAGAATTTCTTCTATGGACAAATGTCAGTTTTACCTCTGGAATTGATTATTGAATATCGATTGGTTCTCTGAAACCTATGGGAATTCCTTATTATTAAGCCTATTTAATAACACAGAGATATCTCAGAATTTAACTGACATCTGGTCTCTAATTTTAATCCTTTTCCATACAAAGATTATAGATCATTGACAAATCACTTGAGTAGTTTTCAGATGGGATCTATGGATTCTAAAAATTGATAATTTTGTTCTTTAAATTTTCATCATTCACTCCATCGAATGCTTTTCTTTAAGTGCATAACTCATAAATTATACAGCCTAATGCCCAAACATCAGTCTTTTAATTATAAGGCTGTTGCATGCATACCTCTGGTGAACAATAGTATAGAGTTCCGTTATGAGTATGGGAGTATAGATAATTTTGAGTAAGGATTTAAGTTATTCCAAAATCTGCTAATTTTACGTCATAATCTTTTCCCGTTAGAAGAATATTCTATGGCTTAAGATCAGAGTGTATAATCCCTTTTGAATGGATATACTCGAGTGCTAGACATAGTTGTATAACAAATCGCCAAACTCTAACTTCCTACATCGCAAATGACTATGTATATCTCTAAATGAAATTGCCTAAATCCCCTCTTTCGCAAAGCTCCATTACTATGTAATGTCTTTTCTCATCTGCAAATGAGTCAATGAATTTGATAATATAAGGATGATTCAAAGTCTACATGACTTTTATTTCTTAGGTTGCTTATTTTTGCTTGTTGTCATCATCCACGTCAATCTATTTCAACACAAAATTAAGATCATCACCTAAAATTTTAATATTATACTATTTACTCCTTCGAACAACTCTATATATAAGTCCAAAGCTACCTGACCCAATCTTTTACATGATCCTGAAATCTTTAATTGATGGTGTTACTCCATATTGACCCAGAGCGCTAGATGATTGTTGATAGTTGGTTTATGGCACCTAAATAGTTTATTATAATCGCAAATTACCCTATTCCGTTAAGCACTTGCGAATCTGACCTATTTTCTCTGGAATATTCTCCTCTCAGGTGATTCTGAGGTATCAATTTTTTCAGAGTGATCTTATATACTTGACTTCATTTATAAATTAAAATTAAATTATGAGAAAATATATTTGGCCTAACAGGATATTTCCTTGTTTTAGGCTTTTATAAAATTCATTAACTGAGATATTCTAGTCTGCAGGAAAATAAAATTAATGTTTGAAGTTACTACCAGACTTAGATTTAATGATAAATTTCACAAAGATTATAAAGTGGTTTCATAGTGTTTGAGCAAATAGGAGGATAGTAGATATATAGTTTATTTATTTTAAAGACTAAATTTATTCTTATAATGTTGAAATATAAATATTAAAAGCAGCTTCAATTAAATTAACATTAGGTCATCAAATATTCATTAATCATCTATTTCATTCAATTAGCTCTCATAGCGGCTATTATTAATTTTTATTCTATATTTAAGGCAAATTACTTTAAGATCTGGATCCCAATATTTTTCCTCCCTTTACAAGTATTGGGCCCTTGCTCAGTTTAGGCCGATTTAATATAGTGGTATTTTCAATCTAATTCTTCTCAATCAAGGAATTATTTACTTAATTATTAACTTCTTCTTTCGATTCTAACTAGGGAGGCAATGAACCATTTCTAGCAGTCTAAGATCCAGTAATATGTAAGTTAAACTCAAAGTTGTTATTAAAATTAGGTGCAGTCGAATTCATGTTTGAGAGTCTTGATATTTCAACATTATTAACGATATTATTAGCTTCATCTAGATGCAAAGAATTCTTCGTGAAATTAGGCATAAAAGAGGTAGACTCATTCAGCAACTATCTAGCTGTTCCTACCATACCCTAGTTTTCACCAGTTAGCATACCAGGCTTTATCATTTGAAGAATTTTCGAGAATCCTTATCCTATCTTAGCAATTGGTTCTCTTTATGGCATCTTATTCCATGAATTAAATTCTCCCAAATTAGCTTATAATGATAGATTCTTGATTCCCTTTTCGCAAGAAGCACAACTAAAGCCACCTAGAGGCTTCTTAGATAATATTGCATCATCATTTTCCTCAACCATGCTAAACTTGTTCTTGATATAGGTATGTAGATTTTTTATAAGCTTGTCAAAATGCTTCACTACTGCTTGTAGTTCCTACTTCTCAGCTACTCTCTTAAGCATTTTCTAGATAAGCTTATCGCATTCTTGTAGAATTTTCTCTTCTATTTTAGGGATAGCACTGTTATCTACTTTTTCTTAAAGCTTTTAGTCAATGATTGCTACTTCACCTTCTATTGACTTGTTTGTTTTCTTTATTTCATTGGCTAAGTTGTTTATCTTCTCATTTATCTCATTAATCATTTCTTCATCTATCTTCTTTTCATCCTCTAATCCCAGTCCAAACAAAGAGCCTCTTTCTTATACCAGTTTTTAGATTTCTACATTCTTAACTTATGCTTCATTGAATTTATTTTAAAGTAGAAGAAGCTATTTTATAAAATGAACAAAAATGTTGACTTACGCTATTCTTCACTTAGGTAACTTGATCGACAGTAGCTTGATTTTTTTCAGAAATAAACTTCTTTAATGATTCTATATCTTTGGCCATTTGAGCTTTCTTTGTTTTCAAGTCATCTAGAAGAATTTAGATTGATCAAAGATATTTTACCAATTTATTAAGTAGCTTTACTAAGATCGTGGATGTTCGCTTTCTTTTCAAATTAATTGTAAATATCCTTTATCTTATCCTTGATCTCATTGATACTTGTTACATCACTAAAATAATACTATGTTAAAAGTAGGATTTATATACTTAATGATTGAAGAGAACTTTTCATAGAGGTCTCTAATTTAACTTTAAACATCTCCAGAGTTTCCACCTCTAGAACCTAATGCTGAGTTACCTCCGAGTTGTACTCTTTGAATGGGCGGTTTAATTGTTCCATCACCGTGACCAGAGTGCTTCTCCAGATCTTAAAGACGATCGTATAGGTCATTGACAAAGTTGTGAATGCTTTCAACATCTTCAGATTCAGCTTTATTTTTTATCTGTTCATTCAGCTTTTAAATTTGATTTGCCAGTTCAATAATTTGGTTAGTGTTATTGTTAATTTTCTCGCTCTGTTAATCTAATCTCTCAGAGTTTTCTTTAATCTTACGACTATCTAGACCCATAGTTAATGTCATATCATCAAGATCTTATTCATCAATACCAAGTCTACCCTACAGCTTATCAATTTCATATTTACTGGTAAACTCTTTTCTTAAGTCCTCCTTCATAGTATCAATCAGCAATATTATATCACCAATATCAAAGCCTCCTGCACCAGTATTCAAGTCATCTTAGTCCTCATTAAGATTCATATTATCACCGTTCATGCTTGGAACCTATAGCTAGTTGTTGTTGTTTTGTTTATCTTCAAGAGTGCTAAGACCCTTGCTTAATGATCTTGAACCAAGACCAGAGAGACTATTATTTAAATTTCTTCTGCCTGACTGCAGGAGTAATTTTATCTTTTATTCAAGGTCAGTTGTTTTAATTTCTAGGGCTCTTAGTTTATCTTTCGAATCATCACTCAAGTCTCTATTTCTATGATTAGAAGAGGCTCTTGCCATAATGGGCAAACCATCCTAAGCTTGATATCTGCGAGAAGATCTATCAGATCTTTGCAAAAGAGCTTCAATGTCTATGACATTCTACTTTACTCTGTCCAGATCCATCTATAAGTCATTTAGTCTATTTTCTTCTTTATCGAATTATAAAGCATTTGAAGCCTAGTTATCTTTCATGGTTTTCTCTATATTATGAAAATGAAATCAATCAATTTTACTTTTGATAAGTCCTTTTTGCTACTGATTCAATTTGAGAACATCTAGTTCGGTACGAGTTTCTCCCAAAATTGAGTCGGTTTGCAAAGATTTATCTTCTAAATCTTTTATTTTTTTCTATAATCACTTTATTAAATCTATTTCTTACTTCTAAATCAGAGCAAATATTTTTTAAAGTGTCAACTTCTCTAGATCTATCTCCACCTTGTAGCTAGGAGGATTATCTAGATTTCAAAGGCTTATTCTATTACTAGGATTACAAGTTTTAACCATTTTAATCTAAAAAAGATCCAACCTTAGATTCTTAATTCGATCTAGCACTATTATTTCCCAAATATTATTCAGATTCCTAAATATTTTAGGAACTAACTGGTTTATCATAATCTCTGGAGGGAAGATGTACAAGCTTCTCAATAACTTTGATAGAGCCGTCTTTGACTTTAGAGTCAATTAGTTAATCAATCAGATACTACTGCTTTTTCTAATTAGCCATTAAATAGTCAAGCACTTTTTTTAGATCATTGAAATTAACCTGGAACATAAAAAGGCTATTCAGGGTCTTATCTGCGATGGGGTAATCAAGCTCATCTCTGTCGTTATACATAGAGGAAGGATGATGGGAAAGTTTTGAATCAACTGCAACTGCTGACATTATTATTCTTAGTATTATTATCTAAAATATATGAATATTATTTTATTTAAAATATCGAAAAAATGATTTACTCCTATCTCTTAATGTGACAATGGTTGCAATGCGGGGTTTTGGGGTTTTGGGGTTTTGGGGTTTTGG